AGCAAACCCTTAGGACAATGTGTTACCTCACCATCAAAGAGATGGCCAACATTTCTGAGGATGTCATCATTGTCACAAGCAGGTAGGAGAGCTGACAGAAAACAATGTCACAGCTGTGAAACAAGTGGCTACATCTGTGGGTGTTGGTTTCACCTGCCCTGCTTTTCTCTACTTATGTTTTACAAGGAAAAACGAATTGTTCCACATGGCAGAGATTGTGTCAACACATGAAATGTGAATTTCTTCCTATTGTGTGGTTACACTGTTCTAAAAAAAAAAAGCAAGAGGCTGCCAACAGTTTATCAGTCAGTTGCTAGTTGGTTTTCTTGTTTGTTTGTGGTGGGTTTTGTTAAAATTAAACTACTGGTTTTGTGAAAACTCTGGCTGTGGCTTCTGGTGCTGGCAGAGCAGTCAGGGAGAAACAGAGCAAAGATCTCCTCAGTCCACCACCTGAGCTATCACTTGTTTTTTGACCTAGAGAACAGACAATTGCAGTTGTGAGAGCAAAGGTTGGATCTGTGTCATCTGCTAAGTGTTTGGTTTATTTTATGTATCTATTTTTAAAGCTGTTTAGCAATTATCTAAACCAGAATCTGTTGTGGTAGAGGGAAGAGCTACTGCAAGAAGGAGAATGGCTGAGCTGAACAAACCACTCCTGTGGCCAAGCAACATTATGGACTGTGCATTTTGCAACATTCTCTGTTTCTATAGAATCTGATTTATTAATAACTCTCAAATAGCTAACTACTGAGCAAGTCTTGGAGATGTTTAAGAAGGGTTCACAGGAATGTCTTTGATTTTTAGTTTGACCAAGGACATGACAGGGAAGGAGGATGTGTACCGAGGCCCGGCCATCCGAGCCCTCTGCAGGATCACAGATGTAAGTGCTCATCACACCCCTTGCAGCTGAAGTATCTCCTGAAAACACAAACATTGTTCTCTCACCTGCTCTAGTTTTATGGCAGTAATGAAACTGCTGGGAAGTCCTGGGATCCCTGTGGGGCTGGAAGTGTGGAGTTGGAGGTGGGAGCTTGGGAGCTCTGGTTTCTGATCTGAGCTTGCTTTGCTGTAGACTTTGATTGTAGGATCACAGAATGGTTTGGGTTGGAAGGGACCTTAAAGATCATCTAGTTCCAACCCCCCTGGATGAGCAGGGACATTGAACCTTCAGGACTGAGCAGCTGATACTTATGTCTCCCTTGCAAGACTTTGCATTTTCACAGTTAAACTATTTTTTTTTTTCCCTGAGAGCCTTTTGAAGATGCTGTGCATGTGTTTTTGCCATGGAATGCTTTTCTGCCCTGCCTCCAAAGTATCAACATTTTCATTTTTCCTTTCCCTAGGGCACAATGTTACAAGCCATTGAGAGATACATGAAACAAGCCATCGTGGACAAAGTCCCCAGTGTGTCTAGTTCTGCACTTGTGTCTTCCTTAGTAAGTAAAGCAGGAAATGATTGTAAATCTGTTCATCATCTTGTGGCTGGGAAGGCTCATCTGCTGCATATGTAGCTTTGTCTGGCTTTTGATTTGCTTTCTTCCTTTCCTTTTCCTTTGAGATGACTTTTCTTTGTCTCTTCACTGGAAAATAAACCAAAAAAAAAGTAGCAATGGACTTTGTCTCGAGCAGACTTGCTCAGAATCTCTCCTCAAATTCTCTTGCTTTAGAGTACACCAATTGGAATAACTTAAAGTGCAAAGTTCTCAGTCATCTCTCTCTGCAGTTACTGGAGAACATTAATTTCTCTGGGGAGGAACCTGGTCTGTTTGGAAAAGTCAAGCAGGGTGATGACTGGGAAAGTGCTTATCAGTTTGGGGAGAGAAAGAGAAAGCAACTTGTTCTGTGCTGAGGGAAAACCAGCAGGTGATAACAGCAGCCTGCTTTGTGCTCTGCAAGAACAAACCCAGGGGATTGCTGCCCTGCTAAGGCTGCAGCTGAAGATTATATTTGCTAATATCCAGTAGAAAGGCAAGATGAAGAAGCTGATTTTTGTTTCTCTCCCTTGCTTGGGAGAACAGGCTGGAAATATTAACTTGTTAGGTTGATATTTTTCTGAAAGAGGAGAACAGAGGTGAAAGCAGAGTGGTCTGGGAGTGAGATGTAAGAAAGCCAGCAGGTTATAGGTGCAGAGGATAGAGACTGGCTGCATTGGTGAACCAGGAAGGCAGAGCAGGAGATGAGGTCCAGCTGATGAGGTGCAGTAAAGCCTGAGGGTGCAAACAAAGCTGCATCACAGAATCAGTTGGGGTTGGAAGGGGCCTCTGGAGATCATCCAGTCCAGCCCCCCTGGGAGAGCAGGATGCCCTAGAGCAGATCCCACAGGAACACATCCAGGTGGGTTTTGAACAACTCCAGGGATGGGAGACCTCCTGGACTTACTCCAGGCAGGTGAATGGCCCTTGTTGAACACATCCAGGTGGGTTTTGAACAACTCCAAGGATGGGAGACCTCCTGGCAGGTGAATTGTCCTTGTGAATTGTCCTTGTGTTGTCTTCTGTCCTCTTTGAACAGCAGCAAAACCTCCCCGCGTGACTTTGTATTGAAAAAGCACATCCATACAAACTATCTCTTTGGGAATTATGGTTAACCTGTAGGATACAGCAAAGCCTTAGGTTGTCTGGAGTTCCTTTAAGCTTAGGAATCACAACCAGGGCTTTGTGGCTTCTTCTAGCACATGATGAAGATCAGTTACGACGTGGTCAAACGGTGGATCAACGAAGCTCAAGAAGCAGCTTCTAGTGACAATGTCATGGTGCAGGTATGTGGGAGGGGGCTTGTCCCAGGGAGCTCTACACACACTAGTACAGGGTTTTCAGGGTATTCTGGGAGTTCTTGGGAGAACCTCCAAAAAAAACCACCACTGGTTTTCCTTTTTTTCCCTTTTCAAAACAAGAATTTTGACCTGAGGGAAACAACTGTTTGAAAAAAACCAAACCACTCTTTTCTCCTTGTTCCCAGTGGAAGATTCTTAATTAAGAGCTGTCTCTTTAGTTTCTCAGCAGCTGTTGCAGAACAGCTTTGAGTTTCCAGTAAGCTTAAAAAAATTATCTCACTGCCTCCCAGAACACCAGCATCTCTTGTCTGGGCCTTCAGAAAACGTGCCAGCTGCTACGGGAGATTAGCCCAAATATCAGCAAGATCTCTGTGTTAGCAAAATCTTTGCACAAATATTCCAAACAGCTGTGAAAATGAAGACTCTTCTGCACATTCAGTGCTCCAGACTAAGGATCAGAAACAAATCTGTAAAATCAGCTTTGTTCTTGTCCAATTGGCAGCTTCATTAACACCTTGATCTGAATCAGTCTTATGGCAGGAAAACCCAAAACAAGTTGGCAAGCAACTGAAAATGTTCCTTTGTGCTTTTACCCTAAATGTCTTGAAGATTTTTGTGAGGTCAGCTGTTATTTCAAGATACCCTGGATGTTGGAGTGTACTGGGAATTCAAGTGTTGCTGTGCAGTGTAATTCAGTTAACTGAAGCTTTTGAAGATCTGGCATTGAATGGGGAGAAAAGGGAGTAAATAAACTTGATGGCTCTTTTCATCTTCAGCAATGTGTTGAAGCTGTCCTGTGGTGGGCAGGAAAGGGAAGGAATCGCTGCAGAGCTAGATAATTTGTCAAGAAATTGGGATAATTAGAGATTAGAAGGTATATTTGCTGGGAAACAGCCATTAGTAGCCCTCTTACAGTGTGACTTACCCAACTGCAGTTGGTACTCAGTGCCTGCACATCCCTGTTTCTGATTTCCTAGTATCATGCTTTGGGGCTGCTCTACCACCTCCGGAGGAACGACCGCCTGGCAGTCTCCAAGATGCTGAATAAGTTCACTAAATCTGGACTGAAATCCCAGTTTGCCTACTGCTTGTTGATCCGGATTGCCAGCAAACTGCTGAAGGAATCTGAGGAGGGGTAAGTGGCAGGATGGGATGTACAGAACTGGTTAGAGTTGGAGGTGAACAGAAGCTGTGTCCTTCCTGTGTTGGGGGCTCCAGAACTGGGCACAGTGCTCTAGGTGGGGTCTCTGCTTTTGTGAGACCCCCCTGCAGGGCTGGGGCCATTTCTGGAGTCCCCAACACAGGAAGGACATGGAGCTGTTGGAGAGAGGCCAGAGGAGGCCCTGGAGATGCTGGGAGGGCTGGAGCAGCTCTGCTCTGGAGACAGGCTGGGAGAGTTGGGGTGTTGAGCCTGGAGAAGAGAAGGCTCCAGGGAGACCTTAGAGCAGCTTCCAGTGCCTGAAGGGGCTCCAGGAAAGCTGGGGAGGGGCTTGGGACAAGGGCAGAGAGGGATGGGCTGAGGGGGAAGGGTTTCCAGCTGGCAGAGGGGAGATGGAGATGAGATGTGAGGGAGAAATTCTGGGCTGTGAGGATGGGGAGAGCCTGGCCCAGGTTGCCTAGAGAAGCTGTGGCTGCCCCATCCCTGGCAGTGTTGAAGGGCAGGTTGGATGGGGCTTGGAGCAGCCTGGAATGGTGGGAGGTGTCCCTGCCCATGCAGGGGGGTTGGAATTGGATGATCTTGAAGGTCCCTTCCAACCAAAACCATTCCATGATTCTGTGATTAATTTTTTTTAAAGCTTTTGGAAATCTAAACTCGGAGAGTAAAGATAAAAACAAAACACAGAAGCACCATGAGACTGAACTGAGTGTGAGTGAATGTGACAGTTGTGTGGTGGGGTCTGTTGATTTATTTTGGCACCTCATCACAAAACTGAGCTGAGAGCAGGATGAAAACTGCAGAATAGCCTCTGGAGAGGTGGAATGGTTTGTACTTTGTCTAGTTAGATGCATTTTAATTACAATAAGGACCTATATTGTTAGGATACAAACAGAAAGATCCCTGCTGTTCTTACCTGGCACTGACAGAGGTGGGAAATAATAAAGTATTTCTGGAGTGCAGCAGTTCTAGCTTGGAAGAAGATGGTGTAAAGATAATTAGAGTAACAGTAAATCAGAAGTTTAAACTCAAGCATGAATGGAGCAATGTGGTGGTGTAAGAAACATGAGCCAGCCCACTAACTGCTTTTTTCAGGTTCTGAGAAATGCAGTGTGAGTGGGAAATGTTTTATTTGCAGCCAGGAAAGCCCCCTGTTTGACTTCATTGAGAGCTGCCTGAGGAACAAGCATGAGATGGTGATTTATGAAGCTGCTTCTGCAATCATCCATCTCCCCAACTGCACAGCCAGGGAGCTGGCACCTGCTGTCTCAGGTGGGTCCTGGAGCCCTTTGTGCCCCTGCTGGAGCTGAAAGAAGGGATGAAAAGAGGCAGCACAACATGACTAAAATAACTGGACTCAAAACCTGTTTGTTTTCCCCCCCCAGTTTTTTTGTTTTCCCCAAGTAAGAGGGACTTTGGGTGAGAAGCAGCTTGATCCCTTTTCCCCTTTTAATCCACAACTTTTGAGAATGGGCACTTGAGGTGACCCAGGATGAGCCTTTCTCCAGCTGCAGGAAGTTGGGGTGTGAGGGCAGGTACAGGAGAAGCTGGTAGCACAGATGTGCCACAGATGGCTACACAAACTGCCTCTTCCTGAGAGAAAGTGAAAACCAGGAGGTTATTTTTAACTGTCTTGTGAAACTGGTGATAATTTATGAATAGAGCTGCATGAACATTTAGCCACAGAGTTTTTCATGTGGATACATTAGACTTTCCTCCCCACTCTTTCTCAGAAAGAGACCATGTATGGTTTTCTGCTGAGGTGAATTGTCACTAAACTGTTTGCACCTCTTGATATCAAAGCTCTGGCACAAAGTACCTTCCCTTTCCTCACCTGGTGTGGTCATCAGGGCTCTCACTTCCTGCTTCTCACACCTTACTGGTGCCTAGAGTTGCAGTACTAGGAGCTGTTTCTTTGTTAAACAGTCTGTTCTGTAACATTTTGTTGTGAGTTACTTCTTCTGATTGTTTGGGGGTTTTTTTGGCTCTTTCCAGTGCTGCAGCTCTTCTGTAGTTCTTCCAAACCTGTCTTGAGATACGCAGCTGTACGGACCCTTAACAAAGTGAGTGTTTCCCACACACCTGCTGCACAAGTCAACAAGATGGTCTGAGCATCACAGGAAGCCACACTTGAGTGCCTGAGGGTGTGTTACCTACTGCAGAGGGGATGCTCTTGTCATTATTGTCTTTGGAAGTATTCCATCTAACTGGCTTTTCCACACCAAATCTGGTGTGACAGAAATCTCTTCTGTATCCCAGTGATGTTTGTTCATTTCTGGACCCCAGGGCTGTAACAAACTGGTAACTCATGAGCTCTCAGCTATAATGAAGCAGAATCTTGAATATTTAATACAGCAAAAAATGGGAATAGGGTGAGTGTGAGGGAAATAACCTTCTGGTCTCACAGCTGAACCCCACAACAGAAGCACTTTGAAACAAATGAGCTTTTATTGTATCCTTTCTGCAGTCATATGATCATAGAATCTCAGACTGGGTTGGGTTGGAAGGATCTTAAATATCATCCACTTCCAACCCCCTGTGTGGGCAGGGACACCTCCCACTATTCCAGGCTGTTCCAAGCCCCATCCAACCTGCCCTTCTGCCAGGGAGGGGGCAGCCACAGCTTCTCTGGGCAACCTGGGCCAGGGTCTCCCCACCTTCACAGTGAAGAAGTCCCTCCTCATGTCTCGCCTAAGTCTCCCCTCTTCGAATTTTAAGCCATTACCCCTTTTCCTCTCAGTACAAGTCCTTGTCCCAAGCCCCTCCCCAGCTTTCCTGGAGCCCCTTCAGGCACTGGAAGCTGCTCTAAGGTCTCCCTGGAGCCTTCTCTTCTCCAGGCTCAACATCCCAACTGTCCCAGCCTGTCTCCAGAGCAGAGCTGCTCCAGCCCTCCCAGCATCTCTGTGGCCTCCTCTGGCCTCTCCAACAGCTCCATGTCCTTCCTGTGTTGGGGACCCCAGAACTGGACACAGTGCTCCAGGTGGGGTCAGTGTAGGTTTAGTCACAATCCTGTGGAATAGAGCAGTGCCTGAAAACAAAACAAAAAGTCTTCTTACCCTATCCAAACTTTTGAATTGTAGGGTGTTGTTTCTCTGATATAATTAGGAACTGCCTTGTCCACAGGTGGCCATGAAACATCCATCTGCAGTCACTGCCTGCAACCTGGACCTGGAGAACCTCATCACCGACTCCAACCGCAGCATCGCCACCCTGGCCATCACCACCCTGCTGAAGACAGGCAGTGAGAGCAGTGTAGACAGGCTCATGAAACAGATCTCTTCCTTCGTGTCAGAGATATCAGATGAGTTTAAGGTGTGGCATTGGAGGCCTCTCCTCTTTCCAGCTGCAGGTTTTTCTCCCATTCTTGTTTTTCTGAAGCTTTTGCCATTTGTTAATCCCCCAGTGACTTAGTCTGACAGAGCAAAGGCAGCTTGAAATTCAGAAGGTGTAATCCTCTGTTTTCCAACTTAAATACACTGTGTCATTTCTTCCCACCACTCCAAGGAAGGATAAATGTTTGGTGAATTTCTGTCTCCTGTGCAGTGTCTTGTAAAATCTTGCACTGCCTTCTGGTTGCCTCTTTGGAGAGGAGGAGAGATTTCAACTCTACTATTTGAGTCTGTGTCACTTCAGTGTGACATGTAGTCAGGAAATAAGTCAGAACTGTAAATTGCTACCTAATTTTTCAGGTTTAATCACTATCAAGTCAGGAAATAACTTGGTTCAGGATGGTACCTGTCCCTTTTGACACCATTGAGTCACCTTGAGGAACAGAAAGGCATTGTCCCCTAGTGTAGAGTGAGCTGAAGCCATTGTTTTTATGAGAAAAGGAATCAGACAAGCTTAAAACTGCAAAGAGTTTTAAAGACAAAATGTAATTAGGTCAGGGTCATCACTGGGCAGAGGAAGCACATTTTTAATTAATGTAGTTCATCCTAAATCCAGTCCCTGTAGCAGAGCCAGATGGTGCAGGAGGCCATGACAGGGTTAACACATGCTCAGGGCCCACCACCTGGTTTTTATCCTCCTCATACATGAATTGAACACATCAAGGGAACAACTTGAGGGAGTGAGAAGCCTGGATTTTTCATAGCAAAATAAATGCAGGTGATTAACATCCCTCTCTTGTTTTGCAGGTAGTGGTGGTACAGGCTATCAGTGCCTTGTGCCAGAAGTACCCTCGGAAACACAGCGTCATGATGAGCTTCCTCTCCAATATGCTTAGGGATGATGTATGTTGGAAACTTCTTTGTGTAGTCATGGGCAGGGAGCTCTGAGAGATACTGAGGGGTCCCTCCTGTCTTATGGCAATGGTTACACAGCAGTGGTGGGGCTTGATTGGCTGCTAAGAGCTTCTTTGTAGAATCATGGAAAGGTTTGAGTGGGAAGGGACCTTAAAAATCAACTAGTTCCATCCTCCCCTGCCATGGGCAGGGACACCTCCCACCAGCCCAGGCTGCTCCAAGCCCCATCCAACCTGCCCTTCAACACTGCCAGGGATGGGGCAGCCACAGCTTCTCTGGCCAACCTGGGCCAGGCTCTCACCACCCTCACAGCACAGAATTTCTCCCTCACATCTCAGCTCCAGCTCCCCTCTTCCAGCTGGAAACCCTTCCCCCTGCTCCCATCCCTCCCTGCCCTTGTCCCAAGCCCCTCCCCAGCTTTCCTGGAGCCCCTTCAGGCACTGGAAGGGGCTCTAAGGTCTCCCTGGAGCCTTCTCTTCTCCAGGCTCAACACCCCAATCTCCCATCCTGTCTCCAGAGCAGAGCTGCTCCAGCCCTCCCATCATCTCTGTGATCTCCTCTGGACTTTGTCCAGCAGCTTCATGTCCTTGTGTTGGGGACCCCAACACTGCAAAGAGGAGGTTCTCATGAGAGCACGGTAGAGCAGGAGAATTACCTGAGTCTTGTGGATCAGACCTGTCTGGAATGTGCTTATGAATTAGAACTGATAAATCAAAACCTGATCTGAAGAGATGATCAGATGATGTGTGAGGAGGGCGTGGGGAGCCCCTGTTAGGTCACTCGGTGTCTCTTCTCTTGTTTCTTCCTGTACAAATGCATGTTTTATCTCCATGGAAAGAGGCAATTGAGGTGTGAGGAGCACTGGGCAACTCTGGTCTGAGCTCTGCCTGCTGGGTCAGTGTCCTTGATTTCCCTTTCCCAGGGTGGCTTTGAGTACAAGCGAGCAATTGTGGACTGTATAATCAGCATCATTGAGGAGAACCCTGAGAGCAAGGAGTCGGGCTTGGCTCACCTCTGTGAGTTCATTGAAGACTGTGAACACACTGTCCTGGCCACCAAGATCCTGCACCTGCTGGGGAAGGAGGGGCCAAGGACTCCATCCCCCTCCAAGTACATCAGGTTCATCTTCAACCGGGTGGTGCTGGAGAACGAGGCTGTGAGGGCTGGTAAGTGCAGCTCCAACACGTGGTGGTTTCATCTCACAGCTCTGCTCGAGATCTCAGGGCTGAGCTGGGCTTGGGGGTGGGAGGCAGTGGTTACTCCACAGGCTCTGTGGAACTGTTATCTGCATCTCCTGTTATTTTTATCCTACAATGAGTTTAAAACTCCTCATACCATCTGAGCATCAGCATTTGGTCCTCTTGCTTTGCAGAACATAAGCAATATTAGAATCATATCATAGAGTCATAGAACGGTTTGGGTTGGAAGAGACCTTAAAAACCATTCAGCCCCAACCCCCTGCCATGGGCAGGGACACCTCCCACCATTCCAGGCTGCTCCAAGCCCCATCCAACCTGCCCTTCAACACTGCCAGGGATGGGGCAGCCACAGCTTCCCTGGGCAACCTGGGCAAGGGTCTGGATGCTGTCCAGAAACTTTGTGATTATAAAAATACAGATTATTTTTTTAACCACCAAGGCCATAAAGCTTTTACTTCCTTATGGAGCTTTCTCTTCTTTCTATATGTGGAATTTCTTCAAGCCAATGCTGAGCTGAAGTTAGATCAGTTTCAATAGATGGGCTCCAAGGAAGTGCTTGTTGGGGGATTTCAGCTCCTGCAAAATCACTGGATGCAGCCTTGCCCTGGTCACTCTTGGATGTGTCACCTCTGTGTGAGAAAGAGATATTTATTTAGGGGTGTGAGCTACCCTAATGGCAGAGGAGCCAGCTTTTTATAGGGGCAGGGAGTGATAGGACACAGAGTAATGGTTTTAAACTGAAAGAGGGGAGATTTAGGTTGGACATTAGGATGAAATTCTTTTGCTGTGAGGGTGGTGGGACCCTGGCCCAGGTTGCCCAGAGAAGCTGTGGCTGCCCCATCCCTGGCACTGTTGAAGGGCAGGTTGGATGGGGCTTGGAGCAGCCTGGAATGGTGGGAGGTGTCCCTGCCCAAGCAGGGGCAGTGAGCTGGATGGTTTTTAAGGTCCCTTTCAACCCAAACAAGTCTCAGTTTATATGGAGCTTGAACTTGCCTTTCTCTGCTAGAGAACTCTGTCAGGGCTGCCTGTAGGGCTGCTAAGTTGATCTTGTTCTTTACCCCCTGACACAAAACTATTTCCATTTGAAAATACAGAAATAGTTTAGCCTTTCCATAACACAAAAAACGTTACGGTCTGGATGTGAAAACCTGTGTAAATTGGAGCTTCAGGACAAGAGCACACACAGTGCTTTGGTCATGGTTCTGAGAATCTGCTGTGTGTGGCTTGAGCACCTCTGACATCTCCACTTTCTTCTCTAGCTGCTGTGAGTGCCCTGGCTAAGTTTGGTGCCCAGAATGAGAATCTTCTTCCAAGCATCTTGGTGCTGTTGCAGAGGTGAGTGGGTGTGCTTGGGCTGTGCTGAGCTTCTGGGTGACACTGGGCTCTCTGGATCCACAGAAGAAGCAAAGTCAGACCAGGTCAGAACTCGCACTGGAGTTGTCCCAATGTACCAGTAAAGGAGTTGGTGCCTTCATTCCACTTCCATGTCTTTCCCTCCTGGCCACAGGGAGCAAAGCAGTGCTGGAGATAAGCAAATGATGGGTGTGGTTTGTCATGAAAACATCTGGTAGCAATCTGATCAGAGAACATTCCTCAGTGGGTGATAAATCTGCAGTGCTTTGGTACATTTTTTGCATTTCCTGAAGGAAGAGAAAATATATTTCTGTGTTACTCATAAATAACTTCTGTGCATGGCTGAGTAGTGATCTCATGTGTTCCCATTCCACAGGCTGGTGTCTGGGGACAAATTTTAAGAGCAAGTGGCTGTGAGAGCTGGGGGTGTTGAGCCTGGAGCAAAGGAGGCTGAGGGGAGACCTTCTGGCTCTGCAGCTGCCTGAGAGGAGGTTGGAGCCAGGGGGGTCGGGCTCTGCTCCCCAGGAACAAGGGACAGGACAAGAGGGAACGGCCTCAAGTTGTGCCAGGGGAGGTTGAGGTTGGATCTGGGGAACAATTCCTGCCTGGCAAGGGTTGTCAGGGCCTGGCCCAGGCTGCCCAGGGCAGGGGGGGAGTCCCCATCCCTGGAGGGGTTTCCAAGCCCTGGAGATGGTGCTGAGGGACACGGGGCAGGGGTGGCCTTGGCAGGGCTGGGGGAACAGTTGGACTCGGTGATCTTATGGGTCTTTTCCAAGCAGGACAATTCTGTGATTGTCCTTATTAAGACCATTCAGCCTCCTTGTCTGTGCCATAAATGTCATGTTCTCTTATCTGCACAGCACTGTGTACAAACAGTGTAAACCCATCCTGCCAGGTCTTGACTTCTCTGGCATGAGGGATCATTCAAATCATGAAGGGCTTGAGGCAGAAAGCAGCCCCAGCCTTGGTGCACGTGAGTTACAGCTCCAAGAAGGGACTTGAGCCACGTGGGGAGGGAGGGAAGTTCCCTGGGGGGAGGCAGAATCTGTTTGTAAACCTTCTGCTATAATTGAAAAACAAGGTGACTGCTGGAGCACGCATCCAGTTTTTCAGACTGAAATGGGAAGTAGCTTCAACATGTTTATTTTGGTGATCATCTCTTTCTTCTACTTAGGTTCCACTCTGAAAAAATGCTATAAAAAGTGCAACCATGTAGTGCTCATCAGAGTTCTTGGTTATAAAATGCAGGTGTATATTCTATAATCTAGGAAGTGTGTGTGGTGTTAGTACCTCACATGTGCATCTCCTTTAATCTGAGTTGGCTGGTGTGACAATTGGATATAAACTTCAAGTTAAGCTTCAACTATTGTGTTTTATAAACACTGTGGTTTTGTTTTTGCATAATTTGTAAATCCTAGAGTGCTGGGTTGGAAGGGGCCTCAAGGACCATCTGGTCCAACCTCTCCAGGTACTACTCTAGTTGATAGGAGGTGGCTCAGCACCCTGTCCAGCTGAGACTTCAAACTGTCCCATGTGGGGAAATCCACCACTTCCCTTAGGAGACAATTCCATTGTTGGACTGTCTTCATGGGGAAACATTTATCTCTTGTGTCCAATTGGAATCTCCCCAGGAGCAACTTGTGCCCATCACCCCTTGTCTTTTCCATCTGACTCCTTGTCAACAGGGAGTCTCCATCTTCTTGGCATCCACCCTTTAAGAACGGAAACATGGTGATAAAGGAGCCTTCTCTTCTCCAGGCTGAGCAAACCCAGCTCTCTCAGCCTTTCCTCATGGGGCAGGTCCTCCAGTCCATTGAGGGAGCTCAGACTATCATTGCAGTATGGAATCCAGTCACAGATTCATAAAATGAGTTGGACTGGGAGGGAACTTAAAGATCATCTAGATCCAACCCCCCTGCATGGGCAGGGATACCTCCCATCATTCCAGGCTGCTCCAAGCCCCATCCAACCTGCCCTTCAACACTGCCAGGGATGGGGCAGCCACAGCTTCTCTGGGCAACCTGGGCCAGGCTCTCCCCACTCTCACAGCCCAGAATTGCTCCCTCCCATCTCACTCCAGCTCCCTCTTCCAGCTGGAAACCCCCCTGCTCCCATCCCTTCCTGCCCTTGTCCCAGGTCCCTCCCCAGCTTTCCTGGAGCCCCTTCAGGCACTGGAAGCTGCTCTAAGGTCTCCCTGGAGCCTTCTCTTCTCCAGGCTCAACACCCCAACTCTCCCAGCCTGTCTCCAGAGCAGAGCTGCTCCAGCTCTCCATCTCCATGGCCTATCTCCAACAGCTCCATGTCCTTCTGGTGCTGGGTTCTCCTGATGTCCTGAGCTGGCTGACTCTTGTCCCCTTGTCCCACAACAGGTGCATGATGGACAGTGATGATGAAGTTCGGGACAGAGCCACCTTCTACTTGAACGTGCTGCAGCAGAGGCAGATGGCCCTGAATGCTGCCTACATTTTCAACGGTCAGTGACAGCAGGGAAAGCAGCCTGAGCTGTTCCTTCCCATCCCCATGGGTGGCCTTTGTTGTTGTGAGAATTGTTCTTTGTGATTTGGGTCAAAATATCTCGAAAGGACAGAACTTGTGGTTGGTTTGTTTTTCTGGCCCTACCTCTTTCCACCAAAGTCCTAACTGGGAGTGG